ACTTTATTGGTTCATTCTAGGAGGCCCGCACGCCGGCGAGCTGTATATCGCACCGATCAGCCGCCGCACCTCGTCCACAGGCACGCTCGCCTACCGCACCACCCACGGGACTGAACCCACACTGGATTCGATACGCTGGGGGGTATGGGACTCGCCCACGGCACGCCCGCCTTTGCCTTTGACTTGCATTGCACCACCTCGGCATTGTCGTCCTACGTGCTGAATACGCCAGCCTCAGGGCGGGAATACGGGTATTGTGCACCGCGTGGAGACAACGGAGAGGGATACAGCGGACTACGGGTGAATACGGCTGAGTACGTGGCCCTCTCGGGCGCTAGTTTGGAGACACGAACACGTCCTCCGCTTCTAGGGTTGTCGTCCTTATCGTAGATCCACAAATCGATGCCGCCATCGTTGGGCCCGCTGCGCCGTGCAGGCGCCGCGTAGCCGCGCGCTAAGAAGAGCTGGCGAGCGACCTGCCAGCAGCACAGCCGGCCGTCATCGCTCCTCCGAGAGGGACGCACACACGGCTGAGGAGGAACATCCCCCGCCCATCTCCCCATCGCTGGAAGAAGAGTGGGTGGAAGCACACAAGGGCAGCCCGGCGCCGCGCGCGCGTCGAACAGTTGCATAGCGGCGCCGACGACACTAGAGTATGCCGCCCAGAGTCTGCCGCTCAGTGGCATGCCCAGACGCATGTGGAGCTATCAGCAGTGGCTGCCATCTCCTCCCCTCCCCACATGGACCCCAGTCTTCACAGACCCGTCTTCACAGTGCTCACCTCCTCGAGCGCGCTGCCGCTCCGATCCGCGTGCGTCGCCTCGAGAACGCGCCGCGCAAACTCGACGACCGCAGACGGCTCGCAGGACGCAGGGGAGGCCGCCGCGCCGCCGCCGCCGCCGCCGCCGCCGCCGCCGCCGCCGCCGCCGCCCCGCTTGTGCGCCTCCGCCAGTTTCCCGCGAAGCGCCTCGTTGGCCTCCGCCCTCCGTGCCGCGTCGGCTCGCGCCTCGGCGAGCTCCTCTCGCAGCCCGCGCGCCTCGCGAGGTCCACGCAGAGGGTTGGATGCGGCAACAGAGTGACTGGAGATTGGACAGAGTGTACAATACGATGGCTAT